TTACATGTAAATTTTAATTGCAATTTTTTTTAACTGCACATGAGCAAAATATAACAGTAATAAAGTAATATGGCAGACTTTGAATAATTGTGTACAAAAACAGTTTCAGACCCTCTTTTGGTTGTGTGACCTTTAGTGTAGGTGCTGTAGTGCTTTGACTTGGTAGTCATGCCTGTATAGAGTTACAAAGTCAAGACTCAGGTTTTGGTTTTGATCTGCATGGCAGGCTACTACAGTAATATTATCCAGTTGACAAGTAACGCGTTTTTGTCTTTTATCTGTTCTAATTTATTGGATGGCAGTGGTTAACCTTGTGTATAATAAAAACATTATTCTGTGTTTGTCTTTACAGTACAGTGCAGTGGACACAAACCCTCTGTCTGTCTATGTCATGCACCCATTCTGGAACTTCGTAGTTAAGGTGAGAAAGACCAGTTCAACTTGATCTGTGTGAAGCTACATTTTTAATGAGCCTGTGACACAGTAACGTCCCAGTTGAATACACTCTTCCATACTTGTTTCTTTACCTTATTTCTCTATACTTGCTAAGGTTTGTTGCTTTAAACAGTGGCATATAATGTACATGCAATTACATTGAGTATTCAACCTAAGCGGTATTGGGCCTACATTATACAAACAGCTATCTGAGCATTGATCATTTAAATCAGTAATTATGAACTATATTTGTCAGAGGGCCAGAATTTTTCTGGACATACATCTTTGGGTCTGTATGAATAAATAATAATAAAATGGAATAAAAATGACATTTTTGTCTAACGGAAAGTAAATAGAGTCATAAATGGTAGGGTTTACTAATAGCTATATAATTTGATAGTGTTTAATTTCTCTTAACTAAGAGATTCCAGTTTGGTTTACGATCCTTGCCATTGGTCAGCTGTTGGATTGATCTGTCTGTATTTTTGAAGTTTTCATATTTATTTATTTTTTGTAACGTACAGCACTTCTCTCTGTTTTGGTCCAAATGACAGTACTTGTTGACCTACTATAGCAGTGCTGTGTTTAAAACTAACTATTGTTTCTCGCTATTACATATTTATCACTAACCTTTTTTTGCCTTTATTCTTCACAGTTTCTACCAACATGGCTGGCCCCAAATCTGATAACATTCACCGGTTTTATGTTTCTGGTATTGAACTTCCTCATGTTGGCCTTCTTTGACTTTGACTTCTATGCTTCCGGTAAGTTCTCAGCATTACTCATCTTATTCCTGCCTTTGCATATTATTTGTTATGTACAACAACTGTTTCATATGCTTTAGGTTTTTGCTTTCAAACCATGCCATGGCTGTAATCCAGCAACAAATGTTCTGCAGCGGAAAATAATCTGTACATTTGTATCGCTCATTTTTGACATAAACTGCAGGTTTATATGTTTTTTTTTTCTCTATCTGGACTAAATATGATGATTACTTATGATGTTTGTGTCTCAGCTGCAGGACATGAACACGTGCCAAGTTGGGTCTGGGTTGCTGCAGGGATCTTCAACTTTTTGGCTTACACACTTGGTGAGTGTTCATCCTGTCATCCATATATGTTATTGTATGTGTCACTTTCATACAGAGATTCTTTCTTTCTCTCTCTTTCTCTCTTCTTTGACATTGTAAGAGGTTAAGGGCAAATTCTTCTAATGCAGTGCATTCAGGATGTAACTGACAGTGAAAAGCTTTAAATAATAAGTTTCTTTTAGAATTAAATAGCAGAGTCATTGAAGGATTACAGCTCGGAAATTGATATATTTGTGTGTTTAGTCCCACTTGCCACAAAATCCTGGTCATTCATCAACAAAAGACACAACCAATACTGTATGATCTGTATGAGATGTGTGTTCTCTGAATTGGACTAATATTAGACAGAAATGCAACTGTCCACTTTTTCCTCCAAACAAATTTCCACATGGTGTTTTTTCTGGAGAGTGTGAATGCAGAATGCTTTAATGTGCAGATGAAACAAGAGCAAGGCTGTGACAGTGGGAAGCAAGAATGTGGCTGTTTTCACTTCAAACACTTGCAGCACTGTTGGATGAAATGTGGGACACGTAGAAATGCATTCAACCCTTTATTTTCCTAAATAATATTTCCCCTAAAATATGTGCAGTTTGTGTAATATGCTGTTATTTGTTGCCCTGCGAAGATGGTGTTGATGGAAAACAGGCACGACGCACCAACTCCTCAACACCACTGGGGGAGCTTTTCGATCACGGACTAGACAGCTGGGCCTGCATCTTCTTTGTGGCCACTGTTTACTCCATATTTGGACGTGGCGAGAGCGGCGTGAGCGTGCTTACGCTGTATTACATCCTGTGGGTGGTGCTGTTTTCCTTCATACTGTCTCACTGGGAGAAATACAACACCGGCATCTTGTTTCTACCGTGGGGATACGACATTAGCCAAGTGGTAAAGATTTTCAACGTTTGTTGTTCACTCTTTCACATTATCAGTGCAGCCGTTTCAAACCCTCTTGTGTAACATATCTTCTTCCAGACCATCTCTATGGTTTACCTGGTCACAGCTGTCGTTGGAGTAGAAACATGGTACCAGCCTGTGTTTTTGCACTTCCTCTACAGAGACCTATTTACCTTCATGATCATTGGTGAGCTGCGTTTTCTAAAATAACAATTGTATTCCACCAGTTTACCAAACCAGCAGTAATATTCTGTGGTTGTTGATTTTCAGCCTGTTCCTTCACTGTGACTTTACCCATGAGTCTCTACAACGTCATGAAGTAAACAGTGTTCTTATTTAAGTCTATCTTTAATTGTATATTATTTTTAAACACAGTTATTTCACCGTCATGTTTTGCTCCTTGTGTCGTTTCAGGGGGTACCGCAGCAACAGTTTAAAGCACAGCAGCCTTTATGAAGCCTTCCTTCCCTTCCTTTCTCCATTTCTCCTCTTCATCTTGTCCACCATTTGGGTGGTGTTCTCTCCTTCCAATATTCTTGAGCAACAGCCCAGGATCTTCTACCTCATGGTGGGAACGGCCTTCGCAAATGTAACGGTGAGAGCATAATGATTCTTTTGACACATTAAAAAAAAAAAAAAAAAAAAAAAAAAAAAAAAAAATTGCGTGTCATTTTTTTTTAATTATAATAAATTTTTTCTCTGGCAGCTCCTCTTCATCTTGTCCACCATTTGGGTGGTGTTCTCTCCTTCCAATATTCTTGAGCAACAGCCCAGGATCTTCTACCTCATGGTGGGAACGGCCTTCGCAAATGTAACGGTGAGAGCATAATGATTCTTTTGACACATTTAAAAAAAAAAAAAAAAACAAACAAACATGTCAGTGTCATGTTTCTTCATATCTATTACATGTTTACTCTGCAGTGTAAGCTGATTGTGTGTCAGATGAGCATCACGCGCTGTCAGGCACTGAGCTGGCTGTTGCTGCCCATGTCTTTGGTGGTCGTGTTGGCAGTAACAGGGACCGTTGCCAATGAGTCATTGCTGCTGTTCGCGTGGACGGCCGCTGTTGTACTAGCACATATACACTATGGTGTATCAGTGGTAAGAACACACCTCTGTGCGTTTCTGTTTGTATTGAAAGGCCTTTTAAAGATAGAAACTTTTAAAAACTTTTAGCTTTTAGCTTTCATGTGATGTAGGCAGAGCAGGAGTCAGCACACATTCACACATTTATTCACATCCTTGCACACTCCCAAGCAGTCCTGCCTTGGAATCCTAATCTTCTCTATTAACTCAGGTTTTTGATTGACAATAGACATAATTTCCTGTTTGACTGAATGTTAATGCTAATGAATTTAAATGACAATAATTAGAATGTTTTATCTGTCTTCTTCACACTCTCAGGTACAACAGCTCAGCGACCACTTTAACATCTTTGCCTTCTCTCTGAAGAAGCCCAACAGTGACTGACATGAGGAGGAACGAATTGGCCTGAAAGAGGCGGAGGTTTAAGCATCTCCTCTCCTCTACTATACCGACACTTCACTTTTATCACCACGGAAACCACATCCCCTCCCCTCCACCCATGAGGATGCCTCAGTGTTTGACCATCAAATAAAAAATATATATATATATATCACGATACACCAAGCGCTCATTTTCCAAACCAACCAACCTAAGCTCTGGTCTTGGTGATGGGGTGGACCTAGGGGCTCTGGCTTCCGTCACTGGTGATTGGCTGACTTGGTTGAGCCAATGAGGTGCAATTGTTTCCTACGGAAATGTACTTCAGTCATGAGAACAGGAGCCTAGACAAGCCATGCAAATGCTCACACATTAAAATGCGTATCTGCTTCCATGCAGATATTTTATATGTTGTGGCTGGCTTCCAGTGCAACCAAAGCCAGTCACACCGTTGCATTTGCAGAGTATTATGAATGTACGATACGCCTTGGGGAAAACACCATTTCAGTTAATTGCATTGGCAGAAAGTGACACTATGACCTCGTAGTACCTCTGAACTCTGGCCACACATCCACAGCAGTGCCCAAAGTATAATGGTTCAGTCACCTCTTCATCTACACAGGATTTTCAATGGAAAACCCCTAACACATGTTAATAACTAAAAACATAGATAATGTACATGTTAAGGGTATGGGGTGTTTTATTTTCAATTAAATAAATCTTTAAAAATTGTGATTGATTCCGAAAGATGTTATGTTAATTTACATTTGATTTGTTAAAATTCTGGCCTGAAGCAGGGCTACTGTGACTAAATATAATTGAGAAGAACTGACCAGGATAACCTTTGACCCTGTCCACTCTACTAATCGTTGACCTGTGTCTGAGCACTGGCCTCCTTGCTCTCCGTAACCTCTGAGGTGTCGCGTGTTCACGCTGATTCGTTCCTTTCTTTTATTTTTAATTGTGTTTATCTGTGTTATTCATTTGTCTGTTTCCATGGCGTTGGTGTGTGGTTTAGTTTTTGCAGCGCTTGAATGAAGAGTGTGTCCAAAAACCTGACATGGAGCGGACCCACTCTGAGGGAACAAAGAGCTGCACACGTCACCACAAACGCCACACAACACTGCCTGGTGTCACGTTGTCCTCCATACACACATCGCACCTGGGACAGGACTGTCAGGTTACTTGGATGTCGTGAGTGTAGTTGTTGGTCTCTGTAGTCTGGTGGTTCTTACTGTGTATGCATTGTCCTGGATATTCAGTGGTTAGTGCAGACTGAATCAGCTCATCATGTTTGTTTTTACTGCCAGGCCACATAAGATGATTTCAAATTTAACCAGAAGAAACAGCATTTAAAGAAAGCCTTGTTCTTTGGAGCTACTGTATGTGTTTGCTGATTATCACCACAAATTTGTGAATTTGCAGAGAAACTGAATGTTATTTCTAATGATTATCCAATGTAATCATCTTTTTTTTTTTTTAAACCTTTTTCTTAATTTTTTTAAATAGTTTTGTACAACGGTGCAGGTGAATGCACAACCTCGTATGTCAGTGCAGTACTACATATGATTTAAAGTGACCCTCTTCTCTTTTGTAATACACACAAAAACATCTATTTCTGTATCCAAACTAGGAGAGCTGCATAAGCATACAATAATAGCCAATGTTATGACTCAAAAGGCCTTTTTAATGAAGCCCCACATTTGTGACTGTGAAGATTAGATTATAGCAACATAAGAAAAAACTTCTGTCTGGTATGTGCAGATCATTTTCATTTCTGTTAATGTATAAGTGTATAACCTGTATTTGTGATTATTTGTAAATACATTTCCTTCTTTTTTTATTGTAGTTTTGAATTGTGTTGTTAAATTTGCAGGCCATGAGACTATGCCAATGAGAGGAGACATTTTAATCATGTTTAAAGCAATTGCTACAGTCATAAACAGGTGGCTTTTTGTGACATTAAGTTGTTTTTGTTTTTTATCTACACTGATTTAAGCACTGATCACCGTGAACTACTTTGAAGGTTGCAGTCATTAAAATAAAATGTACGATCATTTCAAGCATTTCATACTGAAAGATATCTGACGGCATGGTGTGTTAAAAAAAAAATCAGCTGGCAGTTAATTTCCTTGTGTGTGGGTGAATGTTTTTGTTTATGTTTTGTTTTCAGAATTACATTTTTTTTTTTTTTTTTTTAAGATACTTGGGCCTACAGGTTTGGTGTTCACTTTTCAACTTTACTCATCAATGCAGCATCACTAACCAATGCAGCATCAGCCCTTTAACTTCACAATGACAGAGGTTTTTAAAGTGTAACTTAGTTGTGTAAAGATACCTTATAACAGAGGGTATAGGGCTTCAGTGTGGCTCATTAATTATCACTTCCTCACCCTCTTGATTAATTAGCAAATGCATTGGAGCTAAATGCCACCTAATATTGGCAATATATCAACCATGTTGCATCCTGTGTTCCTGGTAAGAGCTATGAATTGGTTTCAGGGAAAAAAAAAAGCCCTTTAACTTCAATGACCTCTTTACTAACATTTAACCCTGTTTACTCCTCTTACCTCACCCCTGGCTTGCATCAATGCAGCCGTGGGGATAAGACGGCGCTCACGTAATGTCTGGAGGCTGCAGGAATAGGTGGCAGTACGTTTCTACTGTCATTCTGGTCCCCTGAGCCTTCCAGGCTGCCAAAAGTCTGGCTACTTTGGCCCAGATGATGAGAAGGAGTTCTTCTTATTAGGAACAACATGATTGCGTGAAGTTAAATAAAACCATTTGATAGAACTTTTACAGCAATAGCATCAGATCCTAATGACTAAAATCTTAGTTGTAAACCCAGATTGCTTTTCAGATGCACATATGCCATAGGTTTATCGTTGCTGCTGCTTCTTTGTTGAATTTTTATATTTGTTTAATGTTTCTTTTTATTTGAATCATGTTTTTAAAGCTCTGTTAAGTTAAAAACCAAATGCGTACAGAAGCTGTGGAGTTATTTTGCTGCTTTTATTTTACTGATATATTCATATTCTGATTACCAAGCTTAGCTAATCACACCACTTTACTTAGAAGTAATTGTGTCCTCCGTTACTGCTACCTTGTGGCTATTTGTTATTTTAACAAAGTTACACTGTTTCTGTGACCCATAGAAAATGATCATGAAGTGGATTCATTTATTTGTATGTTATTCTAACCTGTATACTCCAGTTAATGTAACAATAACTGCATTTATTTATTTATTTTTAGAGCAAAGGAAGTTGAAGTCTGTGTAGGTTCTCAGTCAAAGATAGATAGATAGATAGATAG